TCTACCACGAAGAGAGTCCCTGCACCCACTTTCATATCATGTTAAAAGCTGTGTTCAAGGCCTCCTTTTACCTCACTGAAGCTTGACACGCCGTGCCTGCCAAGGGGGCCCAGAAGGCCGCGGTAACTCCACAGCCTGCGCCCACGGCTGCTGCATGGAGTTCTAGGCCTCGGCTGCCACCGCTGCCCTGCAGCACCCGCCGAAACCACTCCACCCGTCGACACTGCGCCAGGACCAAGACACCTCAGCCGCACGATGCTGCAAGAGAGGAAGACGAGAGCGAGCCCCTTTCTGTGTGTCGCGCCTGTCGCGGCTCCGATGTGGATCATTGGCCCTTCCGGACCGACAGCCAAGGAAGAGCCACAGGCACAGATCACCCCGAAGATCTTTGCTGCCTGCTGCTGAGATTCCCAACCAAGGCTTCGCAAAACAAACACACACGACTCCCAGACAATTGCCGAGGCCGAGGGGCGAGGATTTCCTGGGTAAAGAGGCTCTTCTTCAGGTCCACGCCATTGAGGAAGGCAATGACGCCTGCAGGCACTGCAGCTGGAGACAGAATTGAGATCCCTGCATGTGATTTCTTGCGTAAGCAGCCGCATCCAGCCCCTTAACCCTAAACCCTACTGCAAACCCTAAAACATCCCTTGGCCCTAAAACCTGCCTGGGATACCTCCACTGATTGCACTGGGCTGCCAGAGTACGCAGCCGTGTGCGCCAGCAACATAGACGAGGGTTATCCTGAGAGGCGAGACCGGAGACGGATCGGAGAGTCTTGCCTCTGAAGCTTCCTAGTACGATTTAGTACGTCATACAACTTCAATTATGGCGCTTATTGCTTTTGCTGTGTCTTTGCCAAGCTTCAAGGTGTTGACCACCCATGCACCGAAGATGCCCGGCAGCACCAGCCCGACAAGGTACATGCGAAAGGTACTGAGCGCTTCGTGACCGTAGTGCACCAGTTGGGCGCAGACTGCAACCACTACACCGATCAGCAAGTCGAGCATCCAGCTCCATAGGGAGCGTCCTGGGAGGCAGCGACACCGAAGAGCAGAAGGAGCTTTAGGGCTTGTTCCCTAAGTGGAAATGGACGCTGCAAGGGCCCTGGGTTTTGCTTCAGACCTGTCGAAGTCGCATCAGATCTTGAGTTTCAGGGCGACTCTCGATGCGAAATTGCAATACTGGCCGGGTGGAATGGCGGCGCGAACACCCATCGGAGTGCCTAAACCAGCGAGCTTCAGGAGATGGAGTGTGGGCCCGGGGCCCAAGACCCGAAGTGCCTCAGAGCTGGGCCATCTGGATTGAGCAATCATGGGAAGGCTTGTGCCGGCAGCACCGGAAGAAGCCACGATTCCCGAATGAGGGCTTGGAAGGAGGTGCGGGCTGGCAGCCCGCAGCACTGGAAGAAGCCACGATTCCCGAATGAGGGCTTGAAGGAGGTGCGGGGTGGCAGCCCGCTGCACTGCATGTTCGCTCACTATGTGTGCTCTATCGCGAACATCGCAAACACATGGACGCCGAGACACGTCGTGCATATCATGCTCCGAACACCCACCCGGGCCCGGTTTTCCCAAGCTGCTCCCTGAAGGTCCCTCAACCCCCTGGCAATAAAGTGCTTTGTTTGCGTCTGAAAGCAGGAGGGCAAGGCAAGGGCGGCGGAAGAGGCTTAAGATCCCCCCCCCCCCAGGAAGCTGAGCGGCGGTAGCAGCAGCCTTTCGGAAGATCCGCACCCCCTCTGCTCCACACGTCGTGCAGCTCCACAGACTCCGGTCGGCTAGGGCTCGGCGAGGTCTGGCCAGGGCCTCTCTCTTGGGGAGGCCGGAGCTCCTGCAAGGAGATACTCATGGCCGCCGGGCCGCCCACTTTGGGTGCCAGGACTTCCGAGCTTGAGCCTGGCGGAAACGTGGAAGACTCCTCCACTCCTCCAGTCCCCTGCTTTGTGTCTTGCTGCTCCGACTTGCAGTACTTGGAGTACACACCCTTTCTTCTGCCGCTCAACGAGACAGCTCTCTTTTTGGGCCAGGGGGCCCTACCAAAATCCTCGCCTCCCCACGGATTCTGGCTCCCCTGTCTCCGGGACGCCAGCTCACGGCCAAAGCCAGGCTCGCGGCTTGAAATCATTGCCGCGACCCTGACACCGCCTGATAGAGGGGCCTCAACGCTCAGAGTAGGTTGTTGGGGACATATTTCACTGCAAAATGTCAACACCCAACCAAGGGTCCAGAGGCCTTCATACCCGATGCCGGTATCACTAAGTCTTGGCGTCTGGAGCTTTTGATAAGTCTTTCCTATCTTCTTGGACGATAGGATGCAAAGTTTCATTTTACCGGGGCTCATGAGCCAGCGACCACGACCGTCCAGAAAAAAACTCGGATTCTCCAGGGCAGCGAGTGCTCAGAGACCCCTCGAATTTTTAGTAAAAAACACACCAAGATATGACTACTCTTGAGCACCCGCGGCGAACGGCATCAGAGGCATGATGCAGCCATTAACATCAAAAGTGCCTGCTGTGCAAGACTCGAAGCTAATCGCACTTCCTCCCAAGTGCGGTACTACCTAAGGCCTACGGATCTGTACATACTCGCAGCTCTGGCGCAACAGCCGCCAGATTCTCCGAACACGTTTCGTTGCGTAGCTGCAGTATGTCGGCATTCACGCTCTGTGACGGACTGACTTTGAGCTTCGCTTCAGGGAATACACCGTATGACTTGCTTGAAATGTGAAAACCTGAGCGTTGAATGCTGTGCGATGATGTGCGATGTGCTGCAGCGCCGCAGCAACTGGATCTGGGGGGTTGCTTTCCAACACAACAAACCGAGGAGTTTGTCTCAGATGGTAGAGCGATGCATGGACAGTTCCCCTGAATCCGCTGACCCCGGGATCTATCTTTGCGGGGTGCAGCATGGGAAGGTGCCGGTTTTCTTGGCCCCCTACCCACGACTTCGCAAAGTCGATATGGCAACACGACGCAGAACCGGCAATCAGACGTGGCCACGTGCCCAGTGCCTGCAAAGCACAAAGGTCGCAGCATCACTTCGCAGCCACAAAGTTCTCGAAGAACCGGTGCTGCAACCTGCATCGGTTTGCAACACAATCAATGCTGGCTTAAGCAGATCATTACCCAAACCAAGGGCAGACAAAGTTCGGCTTGCGCAACGTCACGGTGCGATCTGACCCTGAACCCGAAGTCATCAAAATGCAGACAGCGTGCAGGTGTCGGGCGGAAGCCCGCTCGGCTACATTGTACCTGAGCCGAAGCAGCATCCGAGGCCATGTCAATGTGCGGCTGCTGCTGTGGTCAGAAAAAACCTTTCTATCAAACTCCAAGTTCCGCGCTTGAGACATTGATCGACGAGATCCAAACCATCAGGCCTTGCTATTGCGAGCTTTCGTTCCTGCACTGCTATCCCACAATTGCCAGGCAGTGAGAACCTAGAGTAAAAGCCTTCACAAGTGACACGGCGGTGAACGTTGAGCTAAGCACCCCAATGCTGGTGCTTTGGCACGCACGTCCACCAAGCCCTGAGGCGAACAAAAATTCCCGACTCAAAGGCAGTGTACCAATGTTTTGGTCCCTGGCAGCACGGCTCCATTTCGGAAACTCCTGCAGGCCACAAACTTCATCGACATGATGTCGCAACCGGGAGTCTTCAGTCTTCCGCAAACCATCTCAAGAGGGGGGTCCAGCGTGAACTCGCGGAGTGTGCTTACACCGGGCCACACCTGCTCAGTCAGCGGTGCAAGAGTTTCGGAGGGCATGCCGTCGGCGTTGGCCTCTTCCGACGGCGTGCCAAGCTTGCGGAAGATTCGAAAGAGGGTATCCTCAAGTTGGTGTGCATGTCCTCACTGGCACAAGCCCCGGGCCTCACCAAATGTGAATGCAATGGGTAAGGCCACGTCAATCTGACTGTCTCCAGGAAATAGGACCTGGCGGGCGCCAGGCGACAAGAAGCTATTCATGGTGAGAGCATTGACTCACACTGCCGTGCTGCTGGGTCTGGCTACGCCTAACATCTGGAAGTTCGGACACTCTGACAAGAAGCGCTTTTGCCCCGTCCGCCTGACCCGTGGACATCTCCGCCACGATGCAGCCTAAGGACCATATGTCCGTCGGGGATGCGTACCTGCTCAGCGAGCTAGGGAGCTGGTCCCGAAACGACCCGAAAGCCATCTCCCCAGCGCTCACTTGCGCTCTCCCATCAGGATCTCGGGTGCCCGGTACCAAAGACTCACCACCTACGAAGCACGCAAGCTCGGAGGAGCCAAGGGCTGAGAACACAAAGCGCCGGCACCTCCTGCGTCAGGGCCCGCATTTGCACCTGAGACGAACTAAACCCTAAACCATGAGCCCATCAAATTCTGCAAGTAACTCCAAACAGCTTCAACCCTGAGTTAGCTACCCTAAGCCCCCACAAGCAAAAACTCCAGGGCAAAGGCCGAGAAAGCCCGGGCCAAGCCGAAGTCAGCGAGCTTGAAACGGGAGCCCGTCATGTCCACCAGGACGTTGTGGGGCCTGGGTCTGGGTGTCTTTAGGCTTTGGACTTTGACGGGCCTACAGGGGTTCTTAAGTTGAGGGCTTTTGCTTAGTTGCGGGAGGGGTTTGCAGGAGTGTAGCGGATTGATTTTCGGAGTTTAGACTTTAGGGTTTAGGGCTGCAGGGGATGGCGGCAGATAGGAGGCTCCGTGTCTCGTGACTCAGCCGCTGGCTTGAGGTCTCTGTGCAGAATGCGGATGTTGTGACAGTGGTGAATGCCCCTGCGCAGGATTCAACTGGCTGGTCCAATTCTTGCCCTAAAAAGGCCTCGACACTATGCATTGCAGCTGTGCTTGCGGTATTGATGTTTTGCCCCTTCCAGAACATAGTGCTTCTGCAAAGATGGCACATAATGGAAGTTGAAATGTCCTACTGTGCTACAATCCGGAGCGCCATCAGTTGAGAATTCAACCGCCCAGCGCGATAGAGTCCGGAATCCTATGAGACGGAACTTGTTGGTGTGGCGCTAGCGAAAGCTCCGGAACACGTCCGGGCGGGAACGGAGCTCTTCCAGCCACATGTGGGCACACTTGATTACCGCGCCCGCGGCTTCATCCTGGAACGCGTGGCCGTCACCTTTCTGCAGCCAGTAAAGGCTGGCTTTACCTTGATTGACCATGGGTGGTACGGTGGTACGGCACTGACCGTGCCGACAGCTCGATCTGGGCATGCGGCATTGGGCAAGAGACAACATCTGATGGATGGTGTCCTCGGCATACTTCATTCCGTATTCATCAATCCGAGCACGGGTAGGCCAGAAGCAAGCAACTCCGAAAGAATCATGGCTTATGTTGTTCGTATGCTTCGACTCCTCAAATCTATGACTGCACCAAAGACTGCATGAGACCGTCCCTCAAGCCAAGCTTCAGGAAATGTTGTTGGAATTTCTTCGTCGGCCTTGTCATAGATGGCATGCAATCTCGTAGCCCTCCTTCATGTAGACGAAGGCTAAGTATCGAAAGGCAACTCGCACTACGCAAAACTGCAGAGCAGTCCTCACTTGGGGAGTCAGCCGCTTGCCAATCATTGAGGCCGCTGGGACTCCGCTGTGACAGAAGGCAACTGCATCAATAGGCTTCTCCTGCGGGGCAGAAGACGGGACTGAAGGGGTGCATGCAAACGACGCACAGAACACTTCTGTCCATCAGGCACGTCGCAGCGTACAGCGCGACCACCCCTAAGCTCAGGGCTTTAGCAAAGAAGCCGAGTTGAGCCATGACGCCTGCTGCTAGGTCAGCCAAGAGTCCCCCCTGGCCAAAGCCGCCAAAGAAGAATGGCAAAGAATTGCCTGGAAAATATGATGACAAGATATGACAAGATGCGACACATTCTAGGGCCACAAAAAGCCACATCGACTTCAAGACATGGTGTGTTTGCCAGTGCAGGTGGCCCCACACCCCAGACAGTCATGATGATCTCTGTTGCTATTGGTCTCTTCGTATGTATTTTTCCGTCGTAGACATCATTACTAGTAAGAGTGTGATGATTACGGTTTCATTATTAGCACAACCCTTCGTATCAGGTCGAGCAGCTGGACGTACGCTTGAGCTGCTCCTCCTCGAGCTGCCTTAGGACCAGCTTGGGCATACTCACATAGGCACAAGAGCGATACTGCTTCGAAGCAGCATAACCAGAAGCTACAGGTACTAAAGGTGGCCTTGACCCTGAACCCTAAACCCTAAACCCTGAACCCTAAACCCTAACTCTGAACCCTAAACCCTAAATCCTAACCCTGAACCCTAAATCCTGAACCCTAACCCTAACCCTAAACCCTAAACCCTGAACCCTGAACCCTAAATTCCCACCCACTGCTTAGGCCGTACCCACCCTTTTTCTTAGGGTGCCTGGACGCAGAAGGAAATCCGGCAATGATTGACACCAACTCTGGATGGACAATGGGTGGAGCCATTGGAGAGTGGTCGAATTCAGCCCCTAGGGCTGAGCCAAGCCATTAGGCCCCTTGCGCGGCGCCCATATAGACTACCCTAAACCTGACGACCAAATTGCTTGGTGGCCGTTTCCATTTGGCTCCCTTCAGAAAAGGCCCCAGAGGCCGGCCCAGGGGGCACCCTAGCTGGCAGATTCCAGGGACCGGGGGGCTCCTGGCAGGTCCTAAACGAGACCTGGCGTCTTTTCTGCGCCCCCCGCTGCCCCTGGCCCAACAGACAGACCAGGGGCAGGTGGGAATTGAGGGCGTAAGCCCTAAACCCTAAAGGGCAATATTTTGGGTGGTAGCCTGTGTATTCTCACAGCGGGTGGGAAAAGGTCAGGAACCAATGTGTAATTGTTTGGTGGTGGAATCGCATTCGAACGCTAGACGTAGATATGCCGCCCCCCCACACCCCTGGGAGTGTTGGGGCGCCATCCTACATGGAAAATACTGCCGCTGCGCGGCGAGACACCCTAAATTCTAAACCCTGAACCCCAAACCCTAAACCCTAAGGCTCTAATCGTTAAGATTCTTGGAAAGGGATGGCCGGACGCATTGCGAGCCGGGCGCGCTCGCCGCTTCAGCGCAAGCGCGGCACACTCCACCTGTCTCAGAGTAAGGAAGCCTCGGGTTTAGGGTTTTTTGTTTTTTGGGGGGGCTCTTTTCCGAGTTTAGGGTTTAGGGTTTAGGGGGTGTCAGATTGTAGGGTTATTGGATTAGCGGACATCAAAATCCGTTTTGTTCCCCTCCAACGGCCTGTCTTAGCGCATCGATCTCGCTGGGCAGCAGGGGCATCTCGAAGCTTGCAGCCTTATCCCAACAAAGTAGCTACACACAAAACATAATTACACACAAATGCGCCTTAACATCCATATGCACATGTGTAAATAGATATAACTAACATGTGAATTCAAAGCCACTGCCGCATGAGATTTCGGCCAGGAGACGCCCTTTGATCGCGAGAGCTGGCCAAGAGGATTGCCAAGCTCATCGTCAACGACGCCGAACCGAAGACCGAGTTGCCTCGGCTACAACGGGTTTAGAGTTTAGGATCCAGGGTTTTAAGGGCTTAGGGCTTAGGGGTGTGGGAGTTTAGGGTCTAAGGGAAGCATCCACTTCCAAGATGTCGCAAGCTTGAACGTCCAGCACTCCTTTCCTTCAAGATACACTGCTTCGTTGTCCGACCTCAGGCAGGCACATGCATCCCTGCGGTCAAAAACCGTACTCAAAGCCCGATGACAGGAAGGGAAAGCTCATATCAAGAACTTAGATTCGCTCTCCAAGCGGCAAGTCGTACCTCAGTTCACTCAGAGGAATCCGACTCTTCAAATTTTCACCCTTGGGTTCATGGTATTCACCGAATTCAACTGAGACACCACTTCAGGTCTTGCTCAAGCTGATGTGGCTCCAAGATCACCACCCGCAACTCCCTGTTGGTATTGGTGAGTCTCTCGAGCCAGTGCGCGTGCTCTTGGGGGATCTCACCCCTTCCAGGCAACCAGAACAGCACTGCTTCTGCTTTGGCAGGGCTGGCTCCCAGTTCCTGTGCGATGGGCGTCGGGGAAGTGTCATCGCTGTACCTCTCAATGGCTCCATCGGCTGCATCCGGGTGCAACTTGAACAAGCTCTTCTCCTTGTCGACTCGCCAGTTGTACTCCTCCTCTGCACCGCCATCTTCCCACTCCAAGAAGTCCAAGTCCCAGCTACGTCGGTGCTGCTTGTCGTCTTGCAAGCTGGTCTCTTGAAGCACCAGTGCATCATCTGTGTACCGTCTTGTCACCTCTTCCAGACGAGGCAAATGCAGCACCACGCAGTGCGTCCTGCCAATCTGCTTTGCATTCAGAACAGCCATGTTGAACCGCTGCGTAGTGTACTCTTTGATGACGAACTGCATCTTCTTCTCGTTGACCAACTGTGTGACTTCCAAGAGCATGCGATTTAGGATCTTTGCATTGGTTGTGACGTCACGATTTAGCCACTCGTCGAAGGAGAACTGCAGCATGTTCCCCTTCCACTTCTTACCCGTGTTCAGGGGAACGGCTTGCTGGCCCCCTCCCGCAGCCTTGGCGAGAGCAAGAGATGAAGAGGGGTGCGAGGGAAGCAGGGGAGGGGCTGAGACCTCCTTCGCTGCAGAAGCCTCGCTCCAAAGTCACCTCTGAAAGATCTGCCTTAGCCCTGCACCGCACAGCAGCCCGCCAAGAACCGCTATCAGACGCCCGGCAATGCAAAGAAGAACAGGACAGTCAAAGGGATGTTCTCACTAAGAGGACTGATCTCGAAACTTGCCTTTGGTTTGTAGGGAAGGGAGGAATGGGGTAGACTTATATAACTACTATTACCACCATTCTTCCACTCCCTACTAACCAAAGGTAAGGAGAGTGTTGCCCAGCAGCCACACCGAAGCAAACCAGATCGCCGGTTTTCGTCAGAGCCTGCACCAAGGCAGCCCCTTCAACGAACGGTACATAGGTACATCCCTGAAGACTGATGCTATGATGCGAAGAGCAACACCTAAAGCCTATACCCTACATTCAACATCCCAGATCCTAGTCCTAAGTCTTAGTCCATTCATAGGGATCGATTCAAGATGCAATCCAAGACATCGCCTGCACCAGCTGGTTCGTGGCCGCTCCGCCGACACCATCCAGGGCCAGAGCCGGCAACTGCTGCCCAGCGTCCTCTAAGTTCTTGCTCCCAAAAGGGGTTTAAAGGGCTGCATAGGAGCTTGTAGGCTTCTCTGGCTTGTGGTAGAGTTTGGGCTCGTTTAAGCAGCTGCTTTAGGGTTTGATTCATTGGTGTACGGGTTTTGTAAGCTTCATAAGTGACTTGCGAAGCTACCATAGTAGCAGGAGATGCAGTCTAGGGACAAGAGCCTTGTAGCAGTGAATCATGTGGCCGTTTAAGCTATACAGGCCTTATCTTGGGATTTGTTGTAGATACCCTGCTTTCCTTAATATTGTGGCTGACATTAAGTTCCTCGACTTGCCAACCCGGTCCTCCAAGATCTCACGGACGTTGTCTTGCATCAGAAACACGCGCTTGGCGCCCAATCCTTCCAGCTTCTGCTTGATCCACTCTTCCCCACTGTGCTTCCTCACCACAGCCAGGACCGTGAAGCCTTTGGCTGTGAGCAGCTGAATCAGCACCTGCAAGAGCGGAGACGAGTCTGCTTGCAAAATTGTTACAGGTACCTGCAAGCCCTCTCCACCCCAAGCTCGCCTGCCCAATCAAACCTCAGAGCGGCAGTCAAAAACAGAAGGCAAATTGTAGCCACGCTTCAGCGCTTGGCTTCTGCCACCAAGGAGCCGTTTGCACAGTTCAGTATGACCGTCTCACCAGCGGACAGTTTGCTGGCGTGTTCCTGCCATGCAACATTCAGACGAAGGAGTCGCACATCTGATGCTCAAATGCTGGAACTTCCCAGCACATCCTGTGAGTCTTTAGCAGTGGAGCTGCGTCAGATACTTAAGCGGCGGCGCGTCCTCTACGAGCAGGCACGCGGCGCCAATGGACTTAGCCAGTGCCTCAAAACGACTCATTAACAAGGGCCTCAACCTTCTGCCTCAGTCACCAGTTGCCATTTCGTCGAAGTGGCCATGTTAGCGATGCTGAGGGGCGAATCCTGGGCGCTGCACGCGGAGCTCTGTAGATCCGAAGGTTTTGGGCTGGTTATCGACAGCAGCCGCTCGGCCGAGGGTCTGCCGAGAACTCCAGCTTGGCGCACCTTTCTCAGAGGACTCGGCGGAACTCCGGGCGCAAAGGGGGGGGGGGTCACAGATGGCCTGCTTTCTTTCCAGACACCGAGAACGCGCCCTGTGCCGGGAGGCGCCGCATCCTCCACAGTGCACTAGTACGCTGCCTATCTCCGACTTGGATTCAGGTGCAGGGGTCCAGATCGATGTCTCCATCGGCATCGACGTCATGCAGCGGGAGAACCCAATCCCCTTCGTGCACTTCATGTGAGAACAAGCCAGACACGAATCTTGCAAACTCCGCGAGCCTGGCTTCAGGTTCGTGACACGTGGTCCGACCATCCGAATTTGGCCGATTCCTTGACACCCATAGATATCGCCACAACCGTACCTGACCAAACACAGAACGCACCATTTCCTTCTGTAACAAAAGACTGTTTCCAGCCTGTTCTCTGCATTGAGATCTGACATCCTGCAGCTTCAGTCAGCTGGCCGGAAGCACGCTTAAACGCCCAACAGGACTGCTCAACCGAGATTCGTCAGCGGCACGGCACGCATCTGCACCAGAACCTGCCCCTCTATAAGTCCTTAGAAAGGTGCAGGTGACACAGCAGGTCTTGTAAAGCCTTTTCTCCAGCTGAGGTGCGAGAGTTCTCGATCATAGGGTACGTGTCTACCTTGCATGCTCACGTGAGAGATGACGCCACCGAGGACCCAAACCCCTAACCCGTAAACATCCCTAAACCCCAACGCTAGGCCTCTCTGGGACCCTGCACACCCTCCCAAAGCAGAAAATCTCCGACCAGAGCCCGAACTCTGGGTCCCACACCAGCTTCAGCGTCCTTTTGCCCTCCTGGGAAAGAGTCGAAGGGTCGGACGGTTCGACGCGCATCTTGTGGCGCATCCGTCGGTGAGCTTCTGCTCTTTTTTGTGGTTTGACGATGCTGACCCTAAAACCTTAAAACCTAAACCCCTAAACCCTAAACCCTAAACCCCTAAATCCCTAAACCCCTAAACCCCTAAACCCCTAAACGCCCAAACCCAAAGAATGCATCCCCGCCTTCTCCGTCACGGTGATGTGAGCCACGGTCTGCTCGAAGTCCTCTGCCACTGGCCTCAAGTGCGGCAGAACGCTTCAAACTCCGACTCGGATCTCTGGAGAGACTTCTGCTCTGTTGCGCATAGTGGTAGCAGTAGTAGTAGTAGTAGTAGTAGTAGTAGTAGTAGTAGTAGTAGTAGTAGTTGTTGTTGTTGTTGTTGTTGTTGTTGTTGTTGTTGTTGTTGTTGTTGTTGTTGTTGTTGTTGTAGTTGTTGTTGTTGTAGGGCCCTAAACCTGAAGTTTTGAAACTTAAAGCTTTAGACCCGATGGGGGCCTGAGGAGTGTGAAGCCGAGAGACACCGACTCCAGCGTGCGCCCTTCTACAAGCGCCTGGAGCGCCGGAGGCAGCTGCACCTCCCCACGGCCCACGGAAACACTCCAAATACTTCGGGTAAAATTGTTAAAGGGTCCCCTATTTTGGGAAACACTCCAAATCTATGGGCAACGATGAAGACAACGGCTGAAGCATGCTCCCCTAAAACCCCCAAACCCTAGCAACTAGCAATGAATAACATCAGGCCTTCTGGAGGTTCTTGCGGCTTTGCGCCTCTTGCTTTGCTGCCGGGGCCTGACACCAAAGACTCCGAGAGCTCTCGCTTTTGAAGAATCTGCCCTTCAGTGCCGCACCTGCCGCGGGGCACCACATTCCTGGTCATGAAACTATGGATCTCCCCTAAACTCCAAACCCTTGGGCCAAAACCCCTGTCCTGGCAGAACTTGGCATTTGCCGGAAGCTCGCTGCCGCACTTCCAGCAGGTCAACACCTCTTCCTGCCAAGTAACAGCGCCCGAGTCCGGGACTCCAGAGGAATTCAGTGAGACACAGAGTTGCCGCAATCACCCGAGCCTTCACCGGCGTCTGCTCTGTGCGGGCTCGCTGCCCATTCCGTATCTGAGTATGAATGTTGCAGCAGCTTCCAAGCGCGGTCCCACCCGATATCCAGCATGTCCCAAGTGCAGGCGGAACACATCTGCGGGCACATCTGTCTTCCCTGTCTCGTCGTAGCGCTGTCGCAAGGCCACCTTAAGCGGAAATTCTTCCGCGGAGGTTGGACCACAACCCTCCTCCGTAGATCCGATCCCCTCCCCTTTTGCGGCAAGAGGTGCATTGCAGAGGATGACGTAGGCAGCTTGCAGCTCCGCGAACTCCTCTCGGCCGCCACCTGAAGCTTCGAAAAACCCGGCGGGTTCAAAACTTATCCCAAGGCAGCGGCCCTTGTCGGGATGGAGCTGCACGGCCAGCTTGCGGTAGGCCGCGCGAATCGCAGACAAGCTGGCATCCTGAACCAGTGCGCCAGCCGCCAAGGCTCCCAAGGCTCCCAAGCACCCGGTCGGGGGTCGAAAATCCCCACTGAGGCCGCGTCCCGTGCCACGCCCAGCACCTCGTAGAGGTTCCGGTTCACGCCCGCGATGCCGGGGGCCACCATGGCCCCGGCTCAAGCTTGGAAACGAAACTGAAGGGAAGGACAAAACGGCTAAAGGAGGGAACTTCAGGCACTGACTTCAGGGCTGGATCTCTCCGGCTCGGCTCCGGCTGAAGAGTGCAGGGTGAGTCTGCCTGGTAGAGTCTACAGCTGGAGGTACATACATGGTGCAGCTGCGGGAGCAAAACGGCGACAAATCGGTGACATTGCAAAACCAAGCAACAAGATTCCTTTCCGATATTGCAGAGCACAGTAGCTTCGCTGGCCGGTCGCACCGGATGCACTGCCACGCAGCATTCTTCAGGGCCGTAAGATCTTTGAACGCACCGTTCCTGGAAGGACAGCAAGCCAGGAGCACGATATCATGCTGAGACTCACGGGTTTCCCGACCTCGTCAAGTACGTACGGAGATCCTCAACAGAGGCTGTGCTTCGGCTCGACGGCTAGCAGAGACTCAGGAGTCGCTAAACAAAAAGACACTGGGCTCCCCACCATGTCCATGAACTCAAAAACGAGGTAGCGAGCGTGCTCTTTGGAAAGAACTTCATAGAGCCTCTTGGACAGTGAAGTTCATATCCAAGCGACCTAGTCCAGAATCCAGACTTGTCAAGACTGCCTGCCTGATGACATTCGGATGGTCGCACTCTTTGAGTAGCGAGACCTCTCGAAAAAACTGCATCAACCAGGCTCTCTCTCTCAGTCTCATCCCGCTCTGATCCCGCATTCCCCTTCACAAACACAGCTATCGGCGAATACCTATCTGAGCTCTCTGTTTCGCAGGGCCTAGGGGCCTAGAAGTCTAGGAGCCTGAGCAATCTCTCCCTCTCTCTTCGCCTTGCTTTGCTCGGAGGATGCGGGAAAGATTGGGGGGCACAGGCAGTCCCTGTACCCTGCTTCTTCCACTCGGCCGAGGGGGTTTGTACCCCGCTCTCTTCCTTCCTTCCTTCCTTCCTTTCCTTCCTTCCTTTCCTTCCTTCTCTCTTCTTCTTCTGCCGGGCAGGAGGTCTCACTCTTGCTTGCCTGCTTGCTTGCTTGCAAGGCGTCTGGGTGACCTGGGTGGGTAGGGATGGACCCCACCAACCCTGCGCGAGAGCGCTACGCCATTGTTCATGTCTGGTGTGACACTTGTATCAGCTAAGTGCAAGGCCAGGGGATTTGGTCCCCGACCATGTGCAACGACCCCTTGCGAGTATACACCAACAAAGAACACTCCTCAACTCCTACTTCCCATGTATCCCCGGCCTCGCTGTTCACACTTGACCTCTTGCTTGCTTGCTACTGGGCTTGAAGAAGCTGCAGCGTTCAGGCAGCTTCTCCGTGCGCGCGCACGCAACCCCGCGTCACTTGGCAGGGTAACCTCTCTCTCTCTCTCTCTCTCTTTCTTGTGGGCATGAGGGACGGTCAAGTCCCCCGGGCATCATGCCCACCCAACGTGTTGTTGGACATCGGGGAGTGGGGAACGAGTGTAGATCGTCTGAAGGCTCAGGCCATGAAGTATCTCTCTCTCTCTCTCTCTCTCTCGCTCGCTCATTCTTTCGTTCTCTCGCTGTTTCTGGAGTGCATGGCCTCCCGGATTGTAGCCGCGGGGACCTTGGCTTCGGCCGTCTAGGCCAAGAAGGATGCAGCGTAGCCTTGTAAGAACCTGACACCATACTCACTCTGCTGGATGGGAATCCTTTTGAGAGCGAAGACCTTGCGTCAAGAAGCACCAATCTCTAGCAAGCTGCCTTTTCCTTCTGGCAATGGGACCCCCGATTTGATGAGTGTAGTGCCTCATTGGTAGTGCGGCTTATTGCCTTGTACACCTGAGACAGCTGATGACTTTGACTTGTCTGTGCGAGCGAAGCACACAACAGACGGCCTTGCCATAGGTCCCTTCGCCCAACTTCTGCACAATGCGGAAGTGCTCGCTGACCTGTGCCATCCCGGCGCCCTCTCCGGCTTCTTTGTAGCAGACATGGGATAATCCTCTTCTCCCCTCTCCCTCTTCTGTGGCTGTAAGATATGTTTTCTTTTCTTGCTTCCTTCCCTAGGCATGAGTCTGGCCACAGAGGAAACACGTTTCTATGCGCGGTCTCTCCTATCTGCACGTGTTGGCCGGTGATGGTAGCTGCCGTCGTACTCCCGAGTGCAGTTGCTGTTTTGTCTTCTGCTGCTGACCGCTTGGCTCTCTCCTTTGAAATTTTCGCCACCGGACCTCCGCGGCTTCGTCTGCATCAAATATGAGCATCCTCGCACACACGTGCGGCGTGTCATTACATCGCAACAGCAGGCTGGCAGAGTGCCGGCCTAATCCGTTGCTCAACTTCGGACCTGGAGGATGAAAGGCAGTTGCGACACGAATCATGTCGCAGGGATGCCACTGGCCAGACTGGAGGCTCCGGCAAATCCATCGCGGATCATCGCCACCCAGAAACACCCAGCACCCCCCAGAAGCCCCAAGGGCTCACTGGAAATGTGCGAGGGTGAGGCACAAACAACTGGTCAAAACCAGAGAGCACCCTGCAAAGGCGCGAAGCTCTCGTTTCTTGGCCCTTGACGATTCGCACTGCCGCGCTTTTTGCTAAACGACTGACATCGCGCTCGCGCTCTCGCCGCCGCTGCTTTGCAGCGCTGTCACGCTTCGAAGCCTTCCGCTGAAGAGCTCCAGGCCTTCCAACCAGACGACCGCATGCAGATCAAATCATTTCAAGTACCAGTCCCGTGGACTCCCCGATTGGTGTCCGTGCCCGTGCCGGATTTGGGAAAACTATGCTAACTGTATCTTGTCAAGTCCTGTGCAAGACGAAAGCTGAATACCCTTCTTACACTTTCGTTGTTGGTTAACGTCACTGGCACCGAGGTGGGCGAACGAGGGGAAATGCCCTGGCAACGTTGGCCAGAAACGGACGATTATGGCACCTCACTTGCACCCATCGTCATCGTCCCATCATTCGCCAGAGGAGTCCTCGTTTCTTCTTCGCAGAGGCCTGCGGACTGCCACTGAAGGACTCAAGGAAGGAAGCCACCTGCACATCACCTTGACTCGTCTTCTGCGCGAGCCACATTGCCATCTGAATGTTGCCAGGAGGCACACCTGCGTTTGCCAGGGCCTCCATGAAATCACTTGGCTCCAGGGTTCTTGACTCCGCCTCAATTACCTGATGGTGCAGGACCTGTCGGAGCGCATGGCCCGGGATCTGGCCCTGCGCCCACTCCACGTGGCTCTTCCAGATCCCCTGGCTCTGCACTTGCACCATGTTGGCGACCAGGGCCTCCACGCTGCCATGGCTCAGCAAAGCCACGGCCTCCCGTCTGGAGAGGCCTAGGGGGAGGGAAGCGATCACCGCCGCCAGGCTCGGGAGTTCCAAGCTTCCCCACAAAGCCAGCAGAGCCGGCAGGCGGTCGCACTGAAAGCCGTGGCTCTCCATCACCGCGGCGGTCCTGGCACAAACCACCTGGATCTCGTCGGCCGAGGCATCTGCCGCCTCCACCGCGGGGGGCGGAAGCGCCCCTCCGGGAACCCCCAAAGAACCCCCGGAGCCGCCAAAGCGCTCCGTGAACTCCTCGTAGTCGACGAGGCCTCCGGAGTTCTTGTCCGCCAAGAGAATCAAGGACGTCAACTGGTCTGACCTCGTTCAGGCAATCTGAGACAGATGCTCATTCCACAGAACGCTGAACTTGGGAGGCAACGTAAGATACCTCTCCGTCTCCATGATCACACGCCTTCGAGCATGAAAGCTTCCGGGCACATCTCGTAATCAGTTAATTACAGAGCACGAAACAAATTGAAGGAAGGGACAACCGAAGCATAGTGATCATCGGTCGTCACCTACCGTGACTCTGAACCATGCAACCATGCACAACAAAATTACGGCGCATGGCAAGCTGCAGAGCAAAACGGAAACAGCCAAGCTTATGCAGCTAGGTTGAAAAGGTAGCACCATGACCGCTTGGACGACTCTGTTGTCTGCGCTACTAATCCGTATATACCTGGTCTACAAGAAAGCCGAAACCCTCCTTGCGCTACTGCTCCGTGTAGTGAAAGATCCCCTGAAACCCTGTTCCCCCGACTAAGGCACATAAAGCAGATACATATACATTTTCCATACTCCGTCAACATACAAGCGATATAATATACATATATACACATATGACATATGATATTATGACATATCTGCATACGGATACTCTACTCCTCCGTTCTCTTATGTAGAGACGAGTCTATGTCCCACTGTGGTCCTGAAGGCTCCCTCCGGTGCCAGCCGGGAACCGCCGGTGCAGCGTCGTTGTAGTTCTGAGCCTCGGTTCTAGAGACATAGATATAGATACATTTCGAATATATGTATGTATATTATATATAAATATATAATGTATATATATATATTGTATATATATATATATATATATATATATATATATATATATATACAAATGTGAATGTGTGTTAGGCTAAAGATTCGGGTACAGAGGGAGGGAGAGAGATATTCATCTGTTTACCTAATTGCATCTATTTGCTTGTGTACTTGCGCATATGAATGAATGAATCTGACATTTGTTGAATCATTTGTGTTTATCTTTTTAATCTGCTTGCACGATATACGTATGTACAAGGGCTTTGGAGTTGGGGCTGCTTCTCTTCGAAGTCTCTTTGCCTCCTGCTTCGCCAGAATACCACTGCGGGGGAGTTGGGATCGGGGTTTGGGATCCATGGGGCATTGGGAGGAAGCAGGGTTGGCCTGTTGACAGGCACTCTGCCGGTGGCTCCAAGCACTTAGCAAACGAGAAAGCCTAAAGGCGAGAAAGGCTCTTTCTGGGGTTCTGACTGATGCGGTTGCACAAGCCCCTCTGGGTGATAGCAGCCTTGCAAGTAAGAGCAAGCCGCACAGAACCAGCGCACACTGCAACCCTCGTTTGAAGCCCTCAGCTCCAGGTATCTTGCAGAGATCCAGGTAGGAGGCTTGCAACAGTCTTCGGAGTTTGCCCGCGCGATGCCTGCAGGCCGAGCACAAACGGAAAGCGCGTGACAGCTCCCATCTGCTTTTGTGCCCGCAGCAAATCCGTTCAAGTTCTACGGAGCTCGGGGTCTGCGCAAGCACCCTCAACTCAGCCCCTCGCCTTCTACAAAGTCAAGCCTTGGGGCCTTTGCGTGGGGTTTAAGGCGGAGCGCGGGATCGCTCTCTTCCTTATGGCCTTATGGGGACCCTTCCATGACATTGCAACTGCGAGACTCTGTCCATCGCAGTATCTCGTGCTTCTACTTGCGATGCAAACTCGAGCCTTGCGAGGCCAGGTGAAAAACAAGCTTCGGAGGTTTCAGAGATCAGAGCTCGTCCCGGCTCGACATGCGGCGGTGGTTCCGGGCACGCGGAATGGCTGCAATGTTAACAGCAACATGTACCCAGCCCACACACGCTTGGGTCAGACGTATTTGTCGCATCACACCATAACCACCAACGATGCCTCGTTCTACCACAGTCGCAAGTGCGACGTCTCCCGGGTTTTGCGGGCAAGGAAAGCGGAAAGTCCGCCGCCAACTGTCCGCTTGCAGCAAGGACTTCTGGAGTGTCCATGCCAGGTATCCATGAAGAGCACCGCTCCCTATAGCAGTACTCACATTCCCAAACTGCACCAAGGCTATCGGAGCCCTGTCTTGCAGTCTGGTTGAGGAGGCCTTCTCGGGCTTCAAAGGCCAGAATTTCAAAGTTTGGCTCCAGCACTCGTGACGCTGCCGCACTCCTCGCACCCCTGAGGCCCAACTTCCTGAAGTTTTCCAAGACCTGTCCACCCAGATGCCCTCGTCTTGCAAGAACCAGCGTGTGGGAGCTCCGTTGACCGCGCTTCGAACGGCCAAGGTGACGCTGGGGATGCGCGTCCAATCGCACGACACTCCCCTCCCGGCCCTCGGCTTCGTAGCCGAGGACCCAAGGAGGCTTAGGCAACACGGCATCCAGGTCCGCAGGGAAGCCATGCTCTTGGAGGGAGAGGGGGCAAGCGCTGGAGCATCACAACACTGAAGCTCTGTGCTCTCAGACTCTCAGATCACGGAAATCGAAAGTCTGGAGCGATCGCGAAGGCGCAGGCACTCCGGAAACCTCGCGCCTTGCTCCAGCGTGGTCAGCGCAACCTTGCCGGAGCTGTCTGCATCCACCTCGCCAGGTCGACGCTACCCATGGGTTTCGATATAAGTTTGGACCTGCACGTGAAAGCAAAATGACAGACAAAGTGGCCCCTATCCTATCCCGGCCTTCAGGAAGAGCTGCTGCATCTCAGCTCGCGAGGTTCCCAGGGGCAAAGTCGACCTGGAGACGGCGAATGGAGGCTCTTTTTCGCTGCAAGGCGAGAAAAAAAAGCAAGCTTTGTTTCTTGCTCCCCCGGTCCCCCACGCCACATCCAGCCACTGCTCCGCGGTCAGCTCCTTCTCTCCGGGAAGGAGGAACCTTAGGTGAGAAAGGCTTCTTGCAAAAGCTGTCACACTTTTCGTGCACCGTGCGCAGGGCAGCGCCAAGGCATCAGACAACGCCAAACCAGCTGCCTCCAGCCTTCAATGCCGCAGCTTGAATCCATTTTCGTACTGCTGACACTTCAAGCATTTCAGCACGGGACCTTCTGCGCAGTCTTCCAAAGACCAAGGCACAGCCTTGTGCCGAGAGAGACCTTCAGAGATCTTTCCAGCTGACATCCACACTATGGCATAGTGACTATGCATTACTATGCAGAAGCAGAGATGCTTGACAAAGACTCCAGCATGCGACCGGCATTCGTTCCTGTCCATGATGGATCAAGTGGCTGAAGGTTCCGTTTGCATGCCATCATGCGACCTGCCTTGCAAAGCAGAGCTGGAAGTGCAAGTGAAAAACGTTTTTTCCTCAGCGCACTGAACACCAGAAGAAGAGTAGTTCTCCACGGCATTTTCTCCTGCAAATCTACAACCACCGAGGAGACGACAAAGTTGATTTCCACACTGCCGAGGGTTCCTCCCAGGGTCCCTCCCAGGGTCGCCCCTAGCCTCAGCAAGTTCCATAACAAGCCTCATACCTTTTTTCGAACGCGAAAGGCTGTCAACTACTAGCCCATCAGCACCGACCTATCCTAATTCAGTTACTGGTGGTTTAAATTAAGCACGGCCCGAAGGAGGTTTGTGTACTACTTTCGTCCAAAACAGACGGTCTTGGCAACGTGGTTGCACTTTGCGGTAGAGGGACGTATTGTCCATCCACATTAACCCGGAGGAGCTGTGCGCTGCAGCGATGCTAGCCGGATTTGGCAATTGATAGAAGCTGTGTTGTATTTGTTCATGAGAAGGGGCAGCGTCCGAGAGCAAATGATCGATGCGTTCTGCAGCCTGCGTCATGCAGGATTCGGCCCAATGTATGCGGGGCCGACCTGGTCTGTTTGGAGCCCTGATGTGTCTGTAAGCATGTGATGTCATATAGGTACATTGACTTTCTAGTGATTCTGGGTGTCTATGAATGTGCCCGAAAAGTTGTAAGCGTTGTTGTGAGTATAACTGAGAGGGAGTGATGACCTTACGTGTTCGGTAGGAGAGAGATGCAAGGTATTGGTTAGAGCATTGAGAGTCCGATGGGTCAAGGATCCTATGATAAAAAGAAGACTTAATTTTAAATATACGGCGCAGTGATTTGTAATGTATGGAATCCAGTTTACGAAGTTGTGGTGAGGTGAGTAGGACACTATCCATAGCGTAAGTGAGAATGGAGAGAACAATGCTCCGATATACTGTAAGTTTCCAACTTGGCGGTAGGCCCGCATGAGATAACAGTGGCCTAAGCAGCTTCGAGGCTGCGACTGCTTGCGAAATTCTATAAGAGGTGTTCTTACGATTGTTATTGTCTCTATCTACATCAGGGATAGTTTGTCTTCGGCCTGCCACATGGGGCCCCACATGTGAATGAGTTATGTCGATATTAGGATCCAATCGGGCGTTGCAATCCCCTAACAAGAAGAGGTGGGAGGAGTTAGGATGATTAAGGAGTATATCTTCCAATTCTTCCCAAAATTGGGACTTACGTTCTCGGTCTAATGCGGGAGTTTCTACCGTACTGGGTGCGTAAATACTGAAAATGGTGATTGGATGTGGTAGAGTATCCAGCGTAATCTCGCAGACACGGGCGGAGTGTGGCTTAAAGTCTCTGACATGGGGGCGCATGGAGGGTGAGATGAAAAAGCCAACCCCATGATGGGGGTCTTTCGGGGTGCCGGAGTGTAGAATTTCCCAGCCTAGTTTCTGAAATGTGTGAGCCGATGTAACCTTGGTTTCTTGAACGCATAGAAGAGAGACTTGGGATTGTTTACAGAAGTTCAAAAGTAAATCATATTTGGCTACTTCCTTGAGGCCTTCTACATTCCATGTACCAATTCTAATAGGGGTGCCAGTAGGGAGTGGCAACGATAAAGTGGAATCAGCGGAGCGAGTTTGATTATAGGACGAGATTGTAGATTTGCGCTGAACTAGTGATAGCCGTTTAACTAGTCGAGTTTGCGTAGTCGGCTTTAGGTGGATCGGGGGTGGACTGTTGTTGCCGTGCACCTGCAGGGCAACGTCCCGGTAGTTTGATCTCCACTGTCGGTAATCCTGGCGCCGAGCTCTACGGCTCTGTTGCCAGTGATCATATCTTCTCTCGACCGCTGTCTGCGATCGATATCCTCGATGAGATCCCCCGTGAGCTCCGCGGTGTTGGTAGCCGCTTGGCTTTAACGGCGCTCTAGATGCCGTTACTGGACCGCAAGCTGAATCATAACGTAAGTGTGGATAACTTAAGTGGTCGTCCGTCGTCCTTTCGGGGCCAGAATAGGCCCCCGAAATCAAGTGCTGGTCATACCGCGTGGAGCGTATTGTTGCATTCCTAGAAATAGGTCCAAGCTGAGTTTTATACTGCCGTAGAAGAGGCCAGCGGCTTCCCGGCTCGCCTGTCTTGGAGGCCACCGCTCTCAGGACGTGCCCATATAGTGTTTTAGAATCGCTGCGCGTCGTCTCTAGTTCAAAGTAATATCCTCTTCGAGTGGCATGTAGCCAAAGAGAATCTTTGCCATAAAAGGCATACCTAAACACCGTCATGCCGTTAGGCAAATAAAAGGAGTCTCTCCATAGAGAGCTGTGCGGCTTGGGCTTTGCCGCTGGATACGTGATGTTGCCATTAAGGGCGTGCATTACGTGATTTAAGCCACCAGCAAAACCTGAAAAACTCACTCGTTCGGTGCTGAGCGGAGCTGTCGTAGGGTAAGACGCGGGGTGAAACGAGTGCAGAGGTCTCCTGTGCACTAAAACCCTAGCACGGAGGCGTACACTCTGGAAAAGGTGAAACGCAAAAGCTACTGGTGAAAAGACGCGGGCTGCCCTCATTGCTCTCACTGCCTTGGTAGCCCCCTCACTGTGTCCTAAGTTGCTACGACTACGGTCTAAGGTGAAACCGGTGCCCCTGTGGGCGTAACGTAAGTGATTGGTAACGGAAGTTGTCGTCAGTCGTACCGTCGTCTGGTGCTTTCCCCGCACCGAGATAACGTAAGTCTTTGTAACGTAATTGATCGTCGTCGATTGGGTTCTTAAGTGGGCTCCGAGAGGGGGTTCGGGATTTGGGTGTATGTTAAGGAGTCGAAGTCTAAGTAGGAACTGGCGCTTGTCAGGTATGACTGGAGACGTGAGTGGGATCAGCGGAATGCACCTGGGCGGCAAAGATAGTCAGGGAGTTAGCCATTGGGCTTTCCAGGGGTAGGGTCCTTTACGGTAGTGGAGTTGCATTACTAGCCATGCTTGGGTGAGAATGAGTGCGTGATCTCCGCGTTCCATCAACAAGAGAGACAATGCTTCCATGCTATTGCCTTTGTTATTCCAGTGCCTTTCTAACAAGTGAGATTTGTTGGAACCTATTTCCGACATATCTGGGGCTCTAGCGACTATGAGGTCGTACAGGGTGCCTAGAGGGTCATTAGGTGCAGGTAAGTCGTGCTTCTTTGTTGTTTGTAATTTGTGGATAGCACCTACTTGGTAGTATAGAGTATCAAAGAAGCAACTGCCTGCTCCAGCTAGCTTTTTAAGAGGTTCCGTGGTGTAGGGGGCAGAACCTTGAAAAACAGCTTCAAGACTGGGGTCCTCTTCTAGGGCTTGGAGATACAGGTCCGCAAACTGATCTGTAAGGTATTCATCAGGGTCTGAGAGGAGGGAGAAAGCAAGTTGCTCAATAGCTTCCTGGGACCATACCAAGTCGATGTTAAATGTGCGCAACGCGAAAGCATAGGAGCGGCGAACTGCCGAGGGCCAGGGGATGAAATCTAGGGTGAGTAAGGAGTCGTATGTAATTTCAAGCTCCGGTTGCATATCGGGATCTGGGAGGTCTGTGTTGGATATGATTTCTGCAGATAGGGCTTCATATGCACTATAGACTGATAAAAGGAGATAACTAATTTGTTGGATGTTGCAAGCTTCTATTTCATAACCGAGGTTATGGAACCAAGGGTCCGGTTTGAGAAAGAATTTGTCAGGGGGCATGGAGAACTCTGTTTGTACTTTGGGCCATGGGAGCGATCTTAGAGGGTCTTGGGGATCGGGGCAAATAACTGAAGTGAACCATTCTGTAAAGGCGTCGGGCAGGGTGTAACGATAATGGATGCTCCTTAGGGAGTGCGCCAAAGCGTCGATAAAGTAATCCGGATGTTCTACCATGGCGTGGAGCATGGCACGTTCATAGCCTAAGTACAGAGCGTGCTTTACAGGATTAAGAGCTTCAATAGGTTTGGGTCCGTAGTACCTAGCAGCCCATTGAGTCCATGCAATACATCCTGCACAATCTCCAAGTCCAAAGATGGTTTTACCTGCTTGACATTCTCTGGTTTTTTGGCCTACTGTAAGAGGGCATCGGAAACCTTTAGTGATGGGTTGCGCAAACGGAACTAAATGTGAGTATCTGTTTGAGTCTGTGAGCCTTTGTAAATGATTGAGACCGTCGGCTCCTGCACAATGTGAACAATCCGAATTCGTCCCAAGGAGACACATACATCCCGGACAAGGAGTTAGGATTGCCGAGCCGCTGGAGTAGTCCAACCCACTGCGGGGCTGTTGTTGCCAAGGGTCTTGAGTGGTCGTCCATGGGTCAACTGTATCCTGGGGTTCAGAGCGCCATTGTCTATTGCTTTGGTAATCGGAGGTGTTGCGCCAGGAGGATTGTTGGGAGTATTTACCTTTAGTGCCTTTATCCTGTTGCTTTCCTTTACCCTTGTTGTGCTTACCTTTGCCACCTCCTTTGTCGGAGGATTTGCCTCTACCTGTCTTACCGTACGAAGAGTAATCCAGACCTTGGTCTTGCATGGCTTGATGTACAATAGGTTGAATACCGCTCATACTGGCAAGTAAATGAGCAGGGTTCTGGGACAGTGTCCTAAGGAGTTCGGCTGTAAAATCAAGTGGGTATATCTCATACGGAAAGTACTGTACTGCTTGTTGGGGGGAGACATTAGAGAGGTCTTGGGTCTGTGAATAGTGAAATCGGAGTGGGGTAGTGCTGTGTCTTGCTGCCGTCTGGTAAGCTTGTAGGAAGCGTAGCGTAGAGCACATTCTTTCCTGAAACATGCGTGGAAAAACATCCAAAACATGAGTCCGATGTTGGGGCTGAATGGCTATGTTACAGACCTGAGTGTCCCCTGAAGGGATGTAACAGACCATCGCAACTAGTTCTTCTGAATCGGGCCGAAATAACTGAAGTGAATTAAAATCTATTCTTAAGTACTGATCAATCAAAGGAGCACCATCTGCCGTCACAGCCTTCGTTAGAGCATCCGTGAGTGCATATAATGGTTGGCGCTCCAGCCGCTCAGTTAAGGAGACGTCGCGTTCAACTTTTATCGGGGTGTCAGGAGGATGAGAATAGCTCTTCGGGTCGCGGTTGCGAAAGTAGCGCTTAGATTGTCTAAAGGATTGAAAAAACTGTTTAGCCATATCTTCTGTGAGAAATACAACTCTGATAAAGCTAGTAGAGCTGGTAAGGAGGTGATTGGAAATCGACTGCACATCTGTTTTGTCTAGCTGCGCTATGTTAAGGAGATACCACATGTTATCGTCAATTGTTTTCTTGTTGCAGAAGGGAGGAACCTGGTGTATCAAGATGGTTCTTTTGTGCATCTCAGATTCTACTGATGACAAACTGGTTTTGAGTAGAGTGTTCCTCGTTTCTAGGGATCTAATTTGGGGGGTGAGGGTGCTGACCACATGATCCTGTAGCTGAGCAATTGCTGGGGAGACAAAAGTGGCGTGATATTCCTCAAAGGCTTCCTTAATGTTGTCCTTATTGATTTCGGGGGCTTGAGTGGAGCTTGTGGCTGCCGGGGGGGGAGGTACATCAGTTGGCATGGAGAACTGTCCTAAGGTTGGGTCCAATCGAGCCTCTTTCCTAGGTCGCCGTGTGGCCATGAAGAGCTGATACTTAGAAGGATCTGATTGGAGGTCCCTCACTAATTGTGGGTCCATATCTCCCCAGGAAGGAGGTTCGTCTTCTTCTGTTTTGGCAAGAGAAGGAGGGGTTCGAAGCCCTGTTATAGATGATGCCATAGAGATCTGTGAGGCCTGTTTCTGCTGGTGGGTAACAAGGAGGCTATCATACATGGGCTTTGTGATAAGTTGCTGATCTGCTGGGGAACAGAGCATATACACTTCATTCTCAAACTCCTTAAGGGAGAGACCTGGGCCTAAAAGGTGCTCTTGGATTAGATTAGGAGACTTAAGAGCTTCTGTAGGTTCTGGTGCCGCCGTCTGTTGCGAAATACCAGGAGGAGCTGCTGGTGAGTCAGTGGGCGATGGGGTGGCCATGGCGTCCGCGGGCGCTGGCGCCGTTGCCATGGCTAACGTAAGTTCCACCTAACTTAAGTAAAGTCAAAACTGTGAAGCCCTAAGGGCAAATAAAGCTGCGTAACCCCTAGGGCTGTAAAGTGAAATTATAAAACGCTCAGCGCAGAGCGCCGCTACATAAAAGTGTTTGCGTTAAGCGCAAAGCGCCCTAAAGGCAAATGCCGCAATGGCGTGAAGCTGTGATACCCCTAGGGCTGTGACAGTGTGTGAAGTAGACGCATGTCAAGTTTGCGCAGAGCGCTGTGGCTCGCTACGCCCGGATTTCCGGGCGGGGGCTTCCCCGGGCTGGGGCCGTCCTGCTGCTCGAGCCTAAGCCTCATACCTAATCCCTCAAACCCACGAAACCCTAAAATCTCACAAGCCTGAACCCGAAACGCTCGAACGTGGAGTTCCTACCTTCCTGCACTTCGCTGCATCAACCAAATCACACTAAGTCCCACCGCTTGAGTTCCTGGCGGATCGGATGGTCCACCCACGCCAGGCAGAGGAGGCCTCCAGTGTCCCACCCCGACCCGATCCTGCAGAAAACCGATGCACACCAAACACAGCATTCTGCGCAAAGCCAATTGAAACCAGAAGTCTAGTCTAACTGCAACCGCGAATAAGCACTCTTGAAGCCACAAAGACCCAACCATTCTAAACCCAATCCATATAAGCTTAAAGTTAACACCCAATGAAACATGAAACCAGGGATTCAACCTTACAAGAAGCGGCCCAGAATACAGCTTAGACAATCCTGCAAAAACCCGACAGTCCTACAAGCCCAAACATTCGATGAAACCTCACACCTGATATGATCCAGCAATAGAAATGCTATGCATCATAACAGCCTTAGATAACCCCCGCATACCCTAAACCCCAAGCCCTAAGCCCAAACGAAACCCAATCCCAAGGCTCTGGGCTTCCGACATCCCAGGCGGAGCTGGAGCTGCTGACATGCCTTTTTTTGCCGGGCCATCGGCAGAGAAAATCACTGAAGAAGAGAGCGTGTAGCGACTGGGGTTTCGGATTCTAGGAAGTTCAGTGTTTGGCCGTTTAGCCTTCTGGAGCTGCCGGAGGTTTGTGTTTGAGAGCTTGGTTCTCCTTCCCGCCCTATTGCACATCCGAGCTAATCCGCTCCCGCACCCTCGTAGAACCCGGCCATCGCAATGCTGCACACCCAGGCAGCTGCGAGATTTCACCATAGAGGCCGCGAAATAGGTGAGTTCACGAGTGAAGTTTGCGGACTCTTGAGACTGTCATGTTGGTTGGCCTTCGAGCTATCAAGTGGAATAGTCAGCTATTGCGTCGTGTTGCCGCCTACAGCCGACTCTTTCCCTCACATCCTGGGTGGACACTAGTTCCGCTGCCTGATTACGGTGTTACACATATTCGTTGTTGTGATGTGCTCTGGGTGTAGAGTCTGTTGCGCACTTCTCTTTTTCCAATGGAGGGAACCTTCCCAAACCTAACTGCACACTCTGCACACGCCGCGTCGTGCAGTGTGCAATGACCTGCACTGCCGGTCTGCTAGTGTTGCTTTGCAATGACACTGCGCAGGCTTGGTCGGCCCCCCGAGCCAATCACTTGGGTACATATGGGTGTTTCCGGAAATCAGGGGTACCTTATTTAGGGGTCCATATAATAACGATCCTACTATTTAGGGTACTATATTAGGGTCCCCTATTTTCGGAAACTCCCATATTTCGAAAGCTTGAGACGTATATCTCTGGCAAAGCAGCACCAATTCTCAACGTGTCCCATCATTGCCACAAACTCTCGCAGAGCCCTACCAAACATACAGTTACAGTAGTATTCCCGTCATCTGAAACCCAGTAGCTTCAAAGCCAAAGTGGCCAAGCTTAAGAAGTTTTGGATTTATGGGTTGGGGTTCCGAATTGGGCTAGGGCCTAGGGTAATCTCGCCTGGCAGCGGCGGCATTCCCGGCGGCCTGCGGCGCTGGGCTAGGAGAGCTGCATCAACACATCAACAAATCCTGTCCGAGTCATGAGCACCAGAAAAAGCGCACACGTACGTATGCATGTGTATACACCTTTGGTGTGTACCTGGCTCACATGTAAACACACCTGTCCTTGCCATATACTGATTGTGTCTCTGCGTATGAGGTGTATGTCCTTGATAGATAGGTGCATAAGTGCAAGTAGACTGATAGTGCGCTGTGTACTTGGTTCACACATAAGCACACCTACATATGGAAGCTGGTCTGTGTTGACATCTGACTACGTCTCCTCTTGTGGTGCATTCGTAGCTCGTCATATAAGCGCAAGTAGATAGATAGGTTAGGTTTGGCTAGGCCAGGTGAGCTTACGTCTGGTTAGGTTAGGTTGGGTTTTGGTTAGGCTACGTTGGTTGGTTGGGTTATGTCACGTCAGGTCAGACTACAGTACACTAGACAAGACTGGATTGATTAGATTCGATTTGAGGCTACAGATTTAGTGGAGACCATGGAAATGTGGATGCAATAAGGAGTGGCGATGCCAATATGAAGACAGAGAGGGAAGCTTTTTTGGCTCCCAAGTTCACGTCTCATGTTGCAAGTGGCTCAAGGATTCCTGCTTCCTCCGTATGCACACACGTGTTGGAACCTATCCGGTGCTTGAAAACGCGAGCGGCCTTAAAGCAGGGTGTATTCATAGCACTCGACATCAAAAGAGCTGATCGGATAGAACCAGCGAAAGTGATAGGAACAGCAACCGAAAACAACAACAAAAAAGCACCTACAAAACACAACCTTCACCAACACAACAAAACTCCCCCTCCCTATAAAGGAAACACCCAACAGCCCCCTTCAAAGAAGCAGATAGCCACGATGGAGGAACAACTTGAGGAGCAGTTGGACAGCAGATGCAACACTAACACATTAAACTTTAACAATATCGAGAAACTTGCAATAAATGGCACTGTACTGCCACAAACCCTTATCCATCTAACTTGTTTATCTAAGCAGGCTCGTACAATGGTTGGCCATCCTCTGCGTGTCTTCATATTTTCTTCATATTTTGCTACATAGTACCTGATCAACACGTGCAATAGCAGCCATTGCACAGAAGCCCAATCATCACTCCTTCCATCTTTCCTTCTTTCCGTCCCTCCTTTGTATCAAAGAATATTGTACACAGGAAGTCGGCGACGACCCCTAATCACTGCGCTGCTGTTGCATCCTTGCTCACGTGTTTGACCTGTTTTTTCCGGTTGCCAAATGTGAGTTTCCGAACATAGGGGATCCAAATATAGTACCCTAACTAGTAGGATCTTTATTATAAGGACCCCAAACTAAGAAGGTACCCCTAATTTTCGGAAACTCCCAAATGGCAACGTGGATCGGATCGGATTCACCTAGTTACCTTGCGACGTCCTCCTGGCAATGCGCATGAACTCTAAGAAGACTTTCTCATCCGGTGTCCCCTACATCCTACATCCTAAACCCTAAACCCCAAAAAGTCTAAACCCCAGAAGCCTCAAAGCTGCCCTTCGCGATCTCGGGCCCGGACGCTGGGGGCCGTGGAGGACCCGGAGGCCCCGGAGGAGCTGACCTGAGAGGCGAAGAGAGAGAGACAGTGTCTTTCTTTAAGTAAACCCTAAACCCTAAATCCTAAACCCTAAACCGTAGAGTGTAGGATTTGCTTGGGATTTACGGCCTTTGGGTTTAGGTTTAACATGTAGGAAGATCTTAAACTTTGAGGCAAAGAGTTCACTGTGGGTCACCTTCTCCTTGTCTCTGGGCCCCGGACGATGGCGGGGCCACAGGAGCGCCAAACGTGTCCAGGAACTCACCTGGAAGTGCGCGGAACCATCCCTCATCGCTTCTCAAAGCCTGGCACATCCCAAAGGAGCAGGCCATAGTCCACGTCGCCTAAGCCTGGCACAGCGGGGTAGCATTGCGATGATCTCTTGATGAACCCAGCAAAGCAGCATGGGATTCGTGCCCATGAAGACTGTTAACAACACCGGACAGTGCCAGGAGCACAGTTCTTGTCGGCGAGCAAGGCCAGCAAGTCGAGACTGAGAACACGTGAGCACTCGTCTGCATTCAAACACGCTGCTCGAGGGCGCTGCTGTGGAGGAGTCAGCACGGGAACAAGCTCCTCAGCTCTCAACGAGACCGAAAAGGATCAAGGATCGCCGCACCACACGCCACACGAAAAACAGCAAGAAAGCAAAAGCCGTCTCTCCTGGAGCGTGTCTTGGAAGATGCTGGGGGCCAAAGTGCCGCTGCGCTCGATGTCCTTCGCCCGCAGCAGATCGTGGAGGCGCTTTCCCGGCGGCGCCAGGACCTTCCAAAACTTCCAGGGACAGTTTTAATGAGGAACTCTGAGCCGTTTCGGCTTCCCACCTGCCGGGCCCAAGTTTCGTACCTCAGGGTTTCTTCCGCCCATGCTTCTTCGCCGCAATCAGCACTCACACGGGACCCGATTCTCTGCCAGGGAACTGCTTCACTTCATCTGCCACCTCCTGTAGGTACGCACTGAAGGCGTCCTGTCAGCCGACACCGCTTCCAGCATTGACCACTCCACGCAAAGCAAACTAGCGAAACGAGACGTGACTTGTCCCTACCACTTGCTGCTGCATCATCTGGCACGTGTTTGAATGCTGGTGCCCCGCAATCGGTCCAGGGATATCTTGGCACCAGGTGATGGAGACAAAGCTGACGTCAACTGCTTGATCTCATCGTCAGAGAGGCCTCGCGAAGAGAAAGCCACAGCCACGGTGCACAAAAAGATTCGATTCCGGGACCCAACTCGGGGCCGCAACAGCCGAGCCCCCGCACCTAGGGGCATCGTCATCAGAGCATGGCCCATAGCGTCAGGCGTGAGCGCTCCGTCGCCACTGGCAAGCTAGACAAGATGAATCCAGCAAGGGAAAACAAGCAAAGAAAGAGCCAGGTCGGCTCATCATCGAAGGATGCACAGGACGAGATCCAGTTCAGCTTTTGACCTCGAGCAGGGAGCTAAGAAAGCTTGCTCCTCATCCATGGCATCTACGCAGTTTGTTTAGAGTCTGCCAGGAGCCGGGACCCACCAGCCGTCGCCGGATTCGCGCGATGATCACCAGGATCTTAGACCTCAAAGCACTTCGCAATACATTATATGAAAGTTCGCCTCGGCCCCGGCCGAAGCGGTCAGAGGTTCCTATTCGGATTCCCTCTATTCCCCACCACTTAATCAGACTTAATCCCCTCCCCAGTGACCCCCTCTCCAAAACGTGACTGCTCCACTCCCCCCCCTCTGTTGTCAATGGATTTGTTTCACTGACGCCTGTCCCCCAGCGCACCCCCCAACCCTTCCCGCCTCGGCCCCCGCCCGGCCCCCTCCCCCTTCAATAATGTCCACTTCTCGCTTGGTGAACGCTGCTCCTTTCGCCCTGCTTGCTGACCCTCCCATGCCATGGCATGCGAGCTTCACGCTTACACCAGCGATCATCAGCGGCTGCGCTTTCTCCCTAAACGCTGCGGGTTTAGGTTAGGGTTTCGGGTTTAAGCTTTATGGCTTGGGGTTTCGGGCTTCACGCCTATGGGCCTTGGTAGGCTTTCGGGTTGCTGCTTTCCGAAACAATGCACCGCAGCCGGGCCGAGGTGGACGCCGCGAAGCGTTTAAAATTATATGACATAACAGAATCGAATAGAAAAGGGCCGGGTCCAAGCTCCCAAGAAGGCCCCGACTCTGGCGCAAGAGGGGCAGGGCCGGGTGCCTGGCTTGCATCTGCGGTGGCGTCGATGCTCCATCGCATGCCCCCCTCGAACCCTCGAACCCGGCGCACGGGCGGGGACTCTTTGGGAGGTGGCGGAGGAGGCGGAGGCGGCTTCGCTGCTCCTCCGGGCCTGGCTTGCGTGCATTCAAGGGACATGCGATTCTTCGAGGCATGAAGCATTCGGAGAGGCGTCGGACGGGCATGCCCCGCCTCAGCGTGGTCTTCTTGCCAGCCGGCTCCAAGGAGGACGGAGGGCTCGGCGGGGCGGCCACAGGGGCCGATTGCTTCGCCAGGTAAGCCTGCCGCAATCATCAGCGACAGGCGTGGTTCTGGCCACTCGAAGAGTCGTCAAAAGAGCCGTCTCCTTGACGTACGGGTTGGCGAAGAGCTCGTTGATTGAAGGCCGGGACCTGGATACAGCACGGCACGAACGCTTTACCCGGTGTCAGCAGATCAAGAGCTCGACTCGGCATTCTTCATCAGCAGCTTGTTGATCAGATCATTCAGCTCTGGCCTGCAGGCAGAGATGCGAACACAACCAACGGGATGCCCGGGCATGCAACGCAGACGCTAAGATCGACACGAATAGAAAGACGGAATCGGATCCTGGGCTTCGTAGCATCATGACATCGGCAACTTGAGAAGGCCGGACGAAATCTCGCAGGCGCAGGTTGGTGTGGCGGAATGGCAACAGCAACAGCAGTGCATCGCTGTTTCGCTTGGTAACCCATGAAGTCATAATGCAGTGATCGAATAGTGGTCTGTCCTCGATTCAACTGGATCGAAAGTGTGGTTTGGACTGCTCTGCAGCCTGCAGCATTCTGATCTGCAGCGGCAAAATGGTGATCTGTAGCCCGCTCAAAAGACTCAAAAGTGACCTGCAGCGGACGACATGTTGGTGTGTAGCCCGCAGAATAGCGACTTGCAGCGGGCAGAACAATGATCTTTAGCCCGCGGAATAGTCAATGTTGGGACGATCGGACCGGAAACAGGGAGTTTAGAATAATTGGGATCGGAAACGGTCATTTTGGATTAATTATGGGTTCGGGACCGGAGCCAATGATTTTGGAGTGATCTGGACTGGGCATTTTGGAGTGAAAGAACCCAGGGCGAGGAATAGTGGATAGGGTATGGCGGGGAACCGGGGGACAGGCAACCCTGCCCTGAGTTCAGTCATGCTCAAAACCGAAACCTGCCCAGCGTTTCATGAAAACCACCGAGATTTCTCAATCGTTTAAGGAGACGGGGCCAGCCCACCCTAATCAACCTGAAAAGAATGTTGTTTTTCACTGACAGCATTGGGATCGATGCATTCGAAGCCAGTAAACCTAAAATCCAGCTGAGTCCTCCCAGGACATACTTTCGTGACAAATGAACACGATGACAGCTCAAGACGAAACCTTGATCAATAAATGCAAGGAACATAATGGTCACTGACAATCTTGTAGACGAGGCCCAGCCTTGGATGTATGCGCTCCGGGATGCAATTCCACAATCCAGAATCCAGGCATGCGGCAAGGAGGAAGACTCAAAGGCATGCTTCAGCATGCAGCACCTGCACAGCGTGCTGAAAGGCACCCGCACTCTTAGGAAACGACGGTGGCGGCTGAGATGGCCGCTCGTAGAGCACACATCCCAAAGCCTCCAGCAGGATTTTTGCAACAGGTCTGAGTCTGGTCGTGGCAGACCAGCCGAGGTGACAACCCAGATGTCGGATTTCCAGTTATACGGCTCGCTTCGACAAACTTCGGGAGACATGTAGTATGGCCTAGGTCCGGACAGGAACAGTGCATCTTCTGATGAGTTCATTTCTGGGAGCACAACGTTCCGACTATAGTGACGGCGGCCTGCCAGACGTTGGAGACACTGTCATGCCGGGGACACAACCGGATTCTCTAGATCTGATCTTAATCAACTTGCCTCGGTGGTGCCTTCCAGCACACGTGAGATGCCAAAGTCGCCAAGCTTGATGGCCGAGCCATCTGACACTCCGCGACACTGTCACCGCTTTTGACCCCAACGAAACTACCAAGCCCGCAAGGCTTCAGGTCTGGAAAATAAACACACACACACACACACACACACACACACGCACACACAATGCGGCCTTCGGTCAAGAAGATGTTGGAGGTTTTCAAGTCTCGATGCAATACCTTCTCTGAATGGATGTACCTGACACTCCGGGCGAACTTTGCAGCTGCAAGTGGGGCGAACAAGGAGAACCGCAACACGCATGCCATACACCAACCACAGCAGTAGAGAGCACTGCAGCGCTAAGCAGAGCTGGACGAACCAAGTCATGATTTGCCTGTCAAGACAACGAGCTTCGCCCGCGGCTGGCTGCGTCTTAAACTGAGTCGCGAACTCCTCTGTAAAGTGGCCGCCTTCCTTTGCTTTGTCCTGCCATGGCTGATCTGCACCCCGCATGTCCAGCAGGCACCGAACAAGTGCCTTGATGGCTTTGCGAACATCGCCGCCGCCGCAATACCTGCAACAAGCCACAAAGATTGGTATGACAATGCCGACAGCAGATTCCTGAGCATGTGACTCCATCACAATTACCAAAGTGTTCGCCTGCCGCGTGCATTCACGGGCCGACGCGGACTGGAATGCTCGTTTCTGAAAGCAGCGGCGGCCGGCCCCTTCAATCAGAAAGCTATCCCGATATGCGACGATGTAGGGGTGGCTCAATGTCTGCAGGAGAAAGACCTGCTAGTGCGCACGTTTTCGAGAATGCAAGGCTTGCAAACAAGAAGAGACTGGCAGAAAGTCTGCACAGGCCTCTTGATGTGCCAAATCCTCAAAGCTAAGTTGCCACGAGACAATGCCAGGGAGCGTCCACTCGTGATTTCCTCTTACGAAAGTCCTGGTCATGCTCGTTCAATGCCGCCAAGGAGATGCATTTAGCCACGAAGGTCTGTCCACTGGCCTGCCAAACCCAAAGCCTAAACGCTCCTAAACCCTAAACCCGTCGAAACCCTGAACCTGGAACCCAAACCGGCAGAAGGAAGCTCGCTCAGTCAGGGCACCGTCTCTTTGACCAGCTGTGCACTGGCATACTGCCCGCGGCCTCTCATTCGCCGCCCGAAGAAGCAGCAAAAACGATGTAAACTGCAAACTTTACATACACTCAACAAGCACTAAACACATGAAATTGCAACCACAGGCCTATGTGCTGCAGTCTCTCGAGCCCAAACCTGGGCATCAACGGAGCCGCTGCGCTGGTTGCAACTCACACCCCAAAAGTGCTGTGAAACTGGGCTTCTCGCCCGGAGAGGTCGATCTCGGTGGTGGGTTTGGACATGGCAACAGCAAACCTGCAGAGATTCAACTGCTCATGCTGATGCGCGCATCACATGCACAAATACAGAGCAGGCATTGCAAAGCATTCGCCGGCCTGTCATGGATCAGGGCAGCGACACCGGCATGTACGTAACATGGCTAAACTTATAAAGCATGAATGAAGTTGTCGCATGTGGATTGATAGATTAACCTTAACTTTGCAACGGAACTTTGCAGAAACAGATGCTCTGCACCAATCCAAGTCCAACATGATGAGTATGCACCTAACATCGATCCAATTGACATCTGCGACAGCACAACATCCGTAAATCAGAATCAGCCAGAATCTCTGTGCGGCTCTCTGGGCTTGGAGTGGTTTGTGGCCAGCAGAATGTGCTCACGACCGAGAGAGCATCTGAGCTGGATGCGGCATCGACGGCGACGGAGATGGTGATGATGGATGATGATGACGATGCAACGATGACGATGACGATGGGGATGAACAGATGAGAATGAAGATGATGAGACAGAGGAGTATGGGGAAGAGGATGAAAACTAACGGCTTGGGTGGGGGAGTAATGATGATTTAACGGTCGGCCACAGCTCATGGACTGATGGAACCCATCTAAATTTAGTCAGGTCATGCATCGACACGAGGAACCGTCCAGACGAGAAAAGCTGCAGATGCTGCCAGGCAGCTCGGACTGATTGGACTACGGCAGTCACTGTACTGCTGCCTCATGCACACGCATGGCCACACAGACACGCAGCGCAAATTTCGGACATCACTTTCACCTGCCACGCACATAGAGATATCTCTTCATAGCTCTTCATTGTCTGCTTCCGTGCAGGCGGTTCTTTCAGAGGTGTAGTGTGAGAATGGAAAAGCTTGAGGTTGTACCACGTCACATAAGGAAGCACTGCAAATGGGAAATTGAGCACGGACCATTTCGAGCTCGCGCAGATGAACAGGCCGACCAACCGGCCATGACTCGTGGACTGTGGGCCAGAGCTACTGCCAGAGTCTGATTGACATGTTCGATACAGATGCAGTTTCGGGTCTGTCGCCTGGACCCGACTGTCAGGGGACAGCATCCTGCACATGCCAGGATTCCTTCAGAATCCCCCAAGTGCTCACGAGGCTTTAAGGGCTTGGGAGTCTGATGCCAGCTCCTTGAACCGACACTTGAACCTCCCAAAACTCAAATCCGCAACGACTGCGGCAAACGTTCGGAGCATGCCTCTGCAAAAGCAGTTTATAGCTTCCTTATGAAGGTGTCGTCGCTTTGCAGAGGACCTCCTCTGATACCACTGGAGAACGCATATCAGAACCTTTGTTGTGTCTGAGATGCGGCTAAAGTTTGTAAAGGCAGATTGCAGACCCTCGGCAACAGATGGTCAGAGGATTCGAAACCGGGTCTGTCGGTGCCATTTAGGGCAAAATTTACTCTCGCGACACCGGGGTCACTTATTTAGGCATTCTCGCAATCAGGAACCCTACTATTCACGGTCTATAGCACGGTCCCTGAGTCTCTCAACTTGGGCTTGATGTCAACCTCTACCATGTGGCGGCCATTCCGTGGAGGGGTTGGTTTCTAACGTCCCACCATATCGATGGTAGCATCGGTGAACTGCGTGACCTTCCATTCTGAGGGCATCACTAGGACAAGCTCGCCTGTGAAACATCAGGGCCAGTAGTTCCACCAGCTGTCCGAAGCGTTTGCTGATGCTCCTCCTGGCGGTATCTGGCGGTAATGGCGTACCCAGGCCATCACAAATGCAGTGTGACTCCTCGGCTTCAGCGGCTTGGATTTACACTTGTAAGTCTCAGGTCACATGATCTTGATGTAACTCGCGTATAGCCACTATGCCATTTTTCGTCATAACATGCTGTGCCAGAATCTTCGTGCGCGACTGCAGAAGATCATCACGTTGCCATGGTCTGTCAGTATAGAAGAGAGCAGAACAAGGCAACGCACCAAGTCACGTTCTGCATTCTACTGTACTGCGATAGGAATACAATCCGTTCAATCCACTTGTGACGCGAATTAAGATTTCGAGAATGGTCATCGCAAAGACGATGAGCGCAATCAATTGCAGGACCAGCAGCTCTGGAGACTGCAGTTTAGGCGACGCGGTACTGCATTTGGAAAGCTTTTCCCTTGAGCGACGAATTCTGACGGCAAGTGAGCGCTGTGGCGGCTGTGGGTTTCGTGTGGCCTACGTGGCCGTACCTATCCAAGCTGCAGTTTCTGGGAGCCTGAGACCTTGTGAATAGAAAAACAGCGACCGCGGCAACGCTGCGTCTGGACCGCAGCCTGAGTACTTGCGGGGATTAAAGCACCGCAGTTGGGGGCTGTTATGGGCCCTTCTGGGAATGGAAAATGGATTCGCTTGGATGAATCGAGAAAATTGCGACTAGTCCAACAACAACAAACACCAGCTGCAGCAGCAACAACAACAAAAGAGGACGCAGTCAACCCCCAACAGACACAAAACAACACATAGCAAACACCAAGAAAATGACACAGCTGACGCGCTGGTGGTGCAGGTGTCTAGGCCAGTGTAGAACAGCGTAGGTCAGTGTAGGTCAGTGTAGGTCGTGTAGGTTCGCGTAAGTCAGTGTAAGTGTGTAGGTGTGTAGGTGTGTAGGTGTGTAGGTGTGTAGGTGTGTAGGTGTGGGCGCCGCGCGCGGGGACGGCGACACCAAACACTAAAACTTCGACGCAACTCCAGCCAAGCACATTCCCACCTTCATCAACGGGACCGTGAGCTTCGTGAAGAGCCCGTGCCACGGTTAAGCTGACAGGGCCGAGAACATTACACGCAAGGACCATACAAGCCCCATCTGAATCTCACACAGAACAAAGCTGACCCAGTCCTCACATATGTGCTTCTGGGCTTCTTCTGTCAGTGGGTACTCAGATGTCCTGTGACATATTTGCAACCAGGGTTTGAAAACTCTGCTGATCTCTGCTGAAGCTGAAGCATACCCGAGGACCAAACATCCTTCGAGAAGACACCTGCGGAGCAGATGCTGCATGTGACGGCACAGAGGTGCGATGCTCAAAAAACGAACCCTCTGTGGAACCCCAGACCTGAGGCGAACCTTCCATATTAGCGGTGATGTCATACCGCAGTCGTGTATCGATCCCCAGTTAAGAAGCGTCAGATCGCTGTGACGCGACGGAGGTGGCACACTGAAATCAGGAACCTCCAACAGGCCGAACCTTCTGGGTTTCGGTGCATTCAAAACGACTCAAAGCGGGAGCCACCAGACAACGCAAGCACCCCACAGGTTACACGAGCGCTCCGATTTCGGGGAAAGTCAAACCGTCAGCCTCGAACCCAAAGCCAGGCCCTCACCAAAACCCACCGCTAAAATCTGCAAAAGCGAACCGGAAAAATCTCTGGACCGGGTTGATGACGTTGCAGAATTCTCGAGACATCGCAAAAATGTGAGGGGCTGGGGAGTGGGGGGGGGGAGATCCACATCTGCCATATTACAGCGTGCAGCGTGCACATGCGAAGAGCATGACCGAAACAGACCCTGAGACTCCAGTCAAGCTCAAGCTACAGTCCTCCCATCCTGTGTGCGGTTTGGTTTGCGCTGTGACGCGTGTAACCGAGAGGCCCATCCTAACCTTCCCCTCCTTAATGGAATGTGAGAGGTCCTACAACGTTCTTGGTCCCAGCTGCCACGGCTTGGTTTGCAAGTGCAAAATAAGCAGATGCCTCAGGTCGGAAAAGGTAGCAGCAGCAGCAGCAGCAGCAGCAGCAGCATCAATGCCAGCGTCACCACCGCCACCACGATCATCATGAGCATCATGATCACGTTCACGGTGGCCATCATTGAACTATCAAGGTGAGCATAACCGCAAGAGTCGCCATTGCGGTGCTTCTAGTTTACCTCCATCTGCCGATACCCACCGCCGGCCGTCAATTCGTCTCTCTTATGCGTATTTTTAATTCAGTGCTTCGAGGTCACAAAAGATCTGGAGGAGGAAGGTGCGCCATTATGGGAGCATTCGGCCAGCGTCACTCCTTCAGAAGAGCCGCAAGTGTGCAGTGGCACAGGAATCAGCAAGTACGCCGAAGTTGGCGTTGCGCAGAAGGCCGCAGCTTGTGAGCTGTCCTGGGAGTTTAGAGAGAGCGGATTTCAAGCCGTCGCCAAGCCTTAACCAAACGCCAACCTTGGACCTGCCAAAGCAAGTTTCAGGACTCAAGCGACTGCATTCAAAAGCTGTTGCCTGATGCCCCACCTTGTCCTGCTCCTTAGGTGCTGCAGCCTTGCGCAGTGAGAGTCACGACAGCTTCATCAAAGCATCAGCATGCAGACAACACTGCGCAACACAAGTCTTAACACCCTACATGCTTGGAACTCCGCGAAACTTGGAATTCCGTTCATGCGAAGCTCGCGAAGTACACACGCAAGGTCCTGGAAGGATTACATGCTAGAAGCGGCACTCCAAAGAAGCGCTCGGATTCGTTCGGTTTGCGCAGCTGCATGCATGCATTCATGCATAAAACAAAAATATGCATAAGAGAGACGAATTGACGGCCGGCGGTGGGTATCGGCAGATGGAGGTAAACTAGAAGCACCGCAATGGCGACTCTTGCGGTTATGCTCACCTTGATAGTTCAATGATGGCCACCGTGAACGTGATCATGATGCTCATGATGATCGTGGTGGCGGTGGTGACGCTGGCATTGATGCTGCTGCTGCTGCTGCTGCTGCTGCTGCTGCTGCTGCTGCTACCTTTTCCGACCTGAGGCATCTGCTTTTTTTGCAACAGCCTTCTTGGCCTGGGCACCCAAGCAAGTTTCAGGACTCAAGCGACTGCATTGAAAAGCTGTTTCCTGCTGCCGTCCTGCTCCTTAGGTGCTGCAGCCTTGTGCAGTGAGAGTCACGACAGCTTCATCAAAGCATCAGCATGCAGACAACATTGCGCAACACAAGTCTTAACACCCTACATGCTTGGAACTCCGTGACACTGGGAATTCCGTTCATGCGAAGCTCACGGAGTACACGCGCAAGGTCTTGGAAGGATTACAGAGCATCCTCCCCCTTCCCTTTCCTCAGGTTTCCAACTATCGAACATGAACACCGTTGCGCTCGGAGGTCTTGAAAGGCCCTGGCCACATCCGAACGTTTATGAGTCGCCGACTAAAGTGGTCGTAGCTAGAACCCATTGGGTACACCAGTCGCAGCAATCCAGTTGAACCGGGAGCCCGACACGCCGACTCAAAAAGGCGCTGGCGCTCCCAACC